CCTGGGCTTGTGGCACTCTAGGATGGAAGATGGGGTCTGGAGGGCAGGTGCCTGTCCCAACGTAAGCACCTAGGGAAAAGCAAATTAAATGCTTCAGGAAGACAGAGAAAGAAGTGGAGCAACCTTGGGAGGCCTCCTGGAGGGGATGGCTTTGGGGCCAGCCCAGTTATTTCTTGTAATTCTGCTGTGCTTGGTTTGCAAAGAGTGTTTATAAACATTTTGTTCTTGGATTCTTGGGATCCAGCAAGATGGGTAGCCTCATCCCCATTTTACAAAGATGAGGAAACTGAGTCCAGAGAGGTGAAGGGTCCCACAGAAGGTCTCACAGAGAAGCAGTGACTAAATATGAACTTGACCCCAGCTGTCTTGCCTCCAAGCCCATTGCTTTTTCCCTTACAACACAGTGTAGGTGAGAGGGATATCTGGTGGCAGGATTGTAGGAGCTAAGACATGGGGAAAAGCAGGGCAGGTATTGTGGGAACATGTAGCAGTGGCCTGTGCTCCCAGAGCAGCAGGGCCAGCATAGCCAGGTAGGCCAAAGTGGAGAGCAGTATGAGGTGATCACCTGATTACTTGGGTAATTAGCCATTGGGAGTCATTATGTGACTTGCCTTGCTTGGGCTGATTGAAGGGAGCTAGCTGGTCAGTGGCAATGGAGGGCTGCTGATTGCTGACAGCAGGCCTGCCTAGAGTGTGGAACTTCATTAAGTTCTTCTGGGGTTGAAAACAACTTGATGCCCTGGCCAAGGGCTCTGCCCGTCCCCAGGGTCCAGGCCTGGCCCTGAGGTTCTCACTCGGTACAAGGTCCTGAGCTGATGCCCACCTCCAGACAGCAGGCCTGCTTGGAAGTAGCAGGCAAGGCTTCAGGGCACAGAGGATGGTCAGTGAGGATGGAGGTTACAACTCCACCCCACAGAGCCAGTAGGAAGTGGAGACCAAGTTGGGAATGGCCAGGGTGCCTCATTGGTGTGCCAGCCTCTGGGCTTGGATGCTGCCAGCTGACCCACTCTCTTGCCCATCCACTGTCTCTCAAGGAAAGGGCTAGCCTCATGGTTAAGACATAGCATGTCTCTGCCCTGAAGGGGACTGATATTTACCTGTGGGGTTAGAGAGGGGGACAGAACCCAAACAAATGCAGGTATAAATTATATGTAGGGGGCCAGGCGTGGTGGCTCACACCTGTAATCCTAGCACTCTGGGAGGCTCAGGCTGGAGGTCAGGCTTGACGTCAGGAGTTGGAGACCAGCCTGAGCAAGAATGAGACCCCGTCTCTACTAAAAATTGAAAAAATTAACCAGGCGTGGTGCATGCACCTGTAGTCCTAGCTATTTGGGAGGCTGAGGCAGGAGGATTGCTTGAGCCCAGGAGTTTGACATTGCTGTGAGCTAGGCTGATGCCACGGCACTCTAGTCCAGGCAACAGAGTGAGACTCTGTCTCAAAAAAAAAAAAAATTATAACTAGGGGAGAGAGAAACAGAGAGACAGAGAACCTGTTTAGACGGGGTGGGCAGGGAAGGCCTCTCTGAGGAAACCATCTTGTTAAATAATGAGAAGGTGCCAACTATGTAAAGGTATGTACAGGAGGTGAGATGGAGAGCGTGCCAAGGCCTTGCGGTGGAAGGACAGGGCATACCCATGGAAGGGAAATGCAGCAAGCGAAGCAGGTGAGTGGGACAGGTGAGTGGGAGGGTGGGCAGGGCCAGTCTTGTAGGCCAAAGTGAGGCTTTTAGACTTATACAAAGTGCAACAGGAAGCTCTGGGAGGCTTTTAGGCAGGGGCGAGTCATAACCAGAAATCAGTTTTCCATAGGTCACCCCTGGCTCTGTGCTCCTCTGGGGCTGTCCCTCTGTCAACAGCCCCAACCCAAATTTCCCAGTAGTGATGTGGATGAGGAGCTGGCATGCCTGGTTTGTGGCCTAGCTCTGTCTTTCTCTAAGGATGACCTGGATGCTCCCAGTTTACTTTTTTCCCACAGGGAATGTCGCAAACTGTCCTGAGAGATGTATACTCACACCCACATCCACACAGGGCTTGACACGAGTCAGATGCTCAAACGATAGTTTTCAACTGTTCCTTGGGGTTCTCTGTTCTTCTCCTTCTTAGGGGTCATGAAGCTGAGCCATGGAGAAAGCCTGGAATCAACAAGGGACTGGCTTCTGTCTGAGAGTTTTACAGTAGTTGAATAAATGGGAAGATAGCACATGTCCTGGTTGGTAAAATGAAATGTTATAGAATATTTGATCTGTTTAATTCCTAGGTTCAATGTAACTCAATGGAAAATCTCAGTATTTCTTTGGAACTAAAAATATCATTAACAACAATAGCTAACATTTACTAAGCATTTATCATGTGATAGACATTGAGTTTGAGAAGCAGGTGTTATTCCCTTCTGCATTTTATAGACCATGCCCCTAAGGCCTAGAGGGGATAAGTAACTTGCCAAGGTCACAGGGCTGCTTAGTCTTAAACCTAGATGGTCTATCCTTCAAGCCAGTGCTCTTGACCCTTATGTGGTTATCCTGGAATGTGTACAGACACATAAAATAGTGTGGATATCAAGTGATATTCTGAAAAAAGAAGACCCAGGAGGGGGAATCAAACCTTGTCAGATGTCAGATCCTAATTCAAAGAACCAATATTTAGATTTATGTGGCATTTGCTCAAACCAAGGTCTACAGAAGGAAATAGAGAATTCAGAAATATACTAACCAAAACCAAAAGCCTAGCATAAAAGGTTTTATTAACAAAGGATAAGGGACGAATTATTTAATATATGGTGACTGCATTAACTGGTGATGGTGGCAGAGTTAAATACATATTTTACTCCAAAATAAATAGAGTAACATAAAATTGGGACAGTCATCAAAGAATTGAATATGAAGTGAAATTGTACAAAACTAACAGAAAGACTATGAGATGGGTGGAAGAAAGCTCACTTTGTCAGCATTGAAGCAATAAAGAAAATCACAAAGGACTAGCTAGAATGACAGACTGAACATTAGAATAAAACAAAAAAGAACAACAGGCTGGAGCCGGAAAATATTTGCATCAATGATGACAAAGGAGCAATATCTGCAATATTAAAAATGCTTGTGCAAAGTGGAAAGAGGTTCAAGTCCCCAACAGATGAATGGAGGTGAACAGATCATTCACAGAAGGGGGGATACAGATAGTAAATGCATAGAAAAACATTCATTTTTGAATGTTTAGTCATCTAAGAAATGCTAAGTAAAGTAACCTTCAACTAGCAATAGACACTATTAAAGTGGGGGCGGGAGGGAAGATGGCACTTAGCGCTTAGCAATGTGCATTAAACTCCTTACACTTGTTCCTTGGAGGCGGTAGAATAATTGGGGCAGCTCTTTGGGAAAATATGACACCATAAGGCAAGACCACCCGACAATTCATAGCCTTCCACCTGGGAGCCTTTCTACTCCCAGGAATTCGTCCCAAGTGCAGAATTCAAGGATATGTTAGCAAACAACTGTAAAAGAACCAAAATATACCGTATCAGGCACTGAGTGAATGGACAGGGATATCTGCACACCTTAAAAACTAATCATGTGAATAAAAGAAAAATTTTAGTTAATGTAGCAAACAAAAGAAAATGTGTGGTTGCAACTATGTAAAGACACGGATACATGTGGAAGGTTTTTGCTTGAAAAGTTGCATTCTGTAGTAATAACATGGATACTTTATTCTTTTTACATTTCTCTTTCTCTCTGGTTGTCATTGTCTTTTCAGTGGTGCTAAAATAATTCTGGACTCATATCCAGCCAGCAGCGTGACTTTGAGCAAGTTTGTCTATAAAGTAGGGTAGTATTTCCCCGAGCGGTTGAGGTCAGTGGGAGATGGCCTGAGCCCGAGTCTGGCACATTGTGGGTACCCCAGACCACCTTCTCGCGGTGGAGGCGCCTCCTCCTACCTAAAATGCAGGAGCCATTCCCGCCCAGCGCCAGACCTCCTTCCAGGGCCTGGGAGTCTAGTCGGGCACTCCCGGGTCTCGGTGTCGCGGGGACTCCTTTCCTGAGGGAACTTTCCGAAGCAAGTGGGGGTGCGTGTGTCCCACGGGCGCCTGCGCTCAGGGGCAAGGTCGGGGGACGTAACCGTCGGTGACCGCTGAGGGGCCGACTTGCAGCCACCTTCGAGCTTCTGATCCTGCCCCGGGCTCGGGGCTCTCCTGCCCGAATTCGGCAGCCGTCTAGTGCCCCCTCGCAGGGGCCCCGAGCTGCAGGAAAACTCAGATTTACAGGGCGCCTCCTGCGGAAGCCTGGAGGCATCGGGGAGGTCGCACGGCCCGAATCGGACTTCGCAGGCAGGGGGCACTTGGGTGCCCTCCCAGGTCTCAAAAGACGCGCCCGATCCCCAACGAGGACGCAGCCCCCTCCGGCAGCTGCACGCGCGCATCTGGGACCCGGCAGCCGCTCCGTCCGTTTGTCCGCTAATGCCATCTTGTCCGGGGCGGTCACGTGCGGGCAACAGCATCACGCTTCGCCTCGGTCCGGGCGCCGGGTCTGACCCGGGGGCACCAGTGGGTTCCTCGCTGGGTCGACAACCGAGGTTAGGCGCGGGGCCCCTTCCCTCCCGCATGCGAGCAGGGCCAGCGCAGACACTGGGTTCCTGAGGGCGCGTCTCCCGGTTCAAGCCGTTCCGCGCGGGGCCACAACGCCGTCGGGGCCCCGAGGCGCCGCCGCGTGCCCTGCGCCACGGCCTCGGGGGCGTCCGCGCCGAGTTGCCGGCTGGGGACGTAGGTGGCCGGCGGCGCTGGACCCCCAGCACACCAGTCCGCGGCCGCCTCGCCTCCCGCGCAGCCCCAGCCCGGCGGGCAGATGTTCGGACCGACACCGGCCAGCAGGGCCCGGGGGTTCCGCGCGCGGCGCGAGGGGCGCGGGCTGCCGGGAGGACCGCTGAGCTAGGGGGGGGTGTGGGGGGGGGCGCGGGCGCATGCGCCCTGCGCCCGTGCCATATTGGAATGAGTCGGAGCGCGGAGCGCCGCCGCCGCCTCCGCCGGAGCGCGGGTGGAGGGGGGCGGGGAGAGCTGCCGGCCGCCCCGCTCCGCCGAACCCAGCAGGAAGGAGGGCGCGAGCGGGCGAGCGCGGGCAGCGCGGAAGGAAAAAGCGCCCGCGCGGGAGAGAAAAAAGAAGGAAAGAAAGAAAGAAAACGAGCGCGAGAGAGGGAAAAGCGAGCGATCGAGCGAGCGCGCGCGCGCGAAAACTCCCGGCAGGTAAAAAAGCGGGGCCGCCGGCTGGGCCTTCCCGCGCGGCGGCCTGAAGGGGCGGCATCGGCGCCGGGACGGGGGACCCCACGGCGTCCCCTTTGGAGCGGCCGCGCAACTTTGCCAACGGAAAACCGCCGGGAGCCGGCGGGCGGCGGGCGCGCGGGCTGAGGCGCCAACGGGCGGCGGCGGCACGTTGGGGCGGGGGCGGGGCGGGGGGAGCGCGGCGCCCGCGCGCGGCCTCGCGCGGCTCCGCGCGCCGGCTGGCCGGACTGCAGGGGCGCGCCTGGGCGCCTCGCCGCGGTGGCGAACGGCGGTGGCGGCGGCCGTCAGCCCCTGGCCGGCAGCGCGGCGCGCGTCAGCCCGCGGGAGGCGTGAAAGGAAAGTGGCCGGGCGGCGGCAGTGGCGGGCGCCCAAGTTCCCCGGCGCACTGGGCCCGTTGCGCGCCCCTCCTCGCGCGCGCCCCGCGCTCCCGCCCGCCGAGCCCCCGCGGACCCGCCCCCTGGGCTCGCTCCGGGCGGGGCGCGAACCCGCAGCAGGGGCAGGGCGCGCGGGCCGCGCGGCCCTTCGTAACTTCGGAGGGCCGAGGCGGCCGCCGCGCGGTGCGGGGCGTCTAGCGGCAGCCACAACCGGTTGCTTCGGGCCGCCGCTGTGAAGTGAGCGGGCCTCCCCGGCGCCTCCGCTCGCTGGGAACCGCTGCCCGAGCCCCGCGGACCTGGTCAGGGTCCCGACCTGCCACTTGGGAGGTCCGTGACCGTTTCGATTTCTCTTCTTAAAGTCTGATTTTGGAGGCTGAAAAAGAGACTGTGGAGAGGCGAGCTGTGTCCTGGGAAGCAAGGCCTGCTCTGTGCGGACCAGAAACGCCTTGCGAGAAGAGAAATTCCCGCGGAAAGGGTGTATGTTAAGTTTTTCACAAGATGTCAGCTGTTCACGTGGGGTCTAAAAAACTAAGCCATCAAGCACAGGTCATCTCCAGATCGTGTTATGCTCAAGAAGTGGGGTGGGTCGCTTCAGTCAGAAGACTGGCTTGTATTTGTTGGGGGTATTCCCAGCAGGTCACTCAAAGCAGTGCCGGCTAGTGGCCCCAAGTGATGTTTTGTAAGTCCTACTTAGCAGTGATCTGTTTTTGAGAACCAAGTAACCATCAAGGAGATTTGAAAGGTAGCAAGATGGATTTTGGCAATCCCTGCGTATGACTTCCCTCGAACCACATTTTGAAGATGTCATATTTACGTATTTGCCGTAAAATGCCTGAACATGTAATCGTTAATTTGCCAGCTGTTTTGAGAGGATGGAGAAACATGAATGTGTCTTCATGCGTACACTTTGGGACCTGTTAACTGGTGTTTTGAGACATTTGTTGAATCCTTCTAGGCCATAGGTAGATTCAGAGTTCAGATTTGTTTGCAGTGCCAGAAAAGTAACGGCCTGGTGGAAACGGGAGTGGCCTGAGATCAGGAAACAGTTCTGTTACTACCGTTGTCATTGACTAGCTCCCTTATCTTGGGTATGTTTCTTACCCTTTGTAGGTAAGATTTGATTTTTCTTATTTGTAAAATTAGAATAAGTAAATCATCTTTCTGCGAGCTTTCAGTTCTAAAATTCGTTGACTTTTTAAAAACGAAAGCTTTTTAAAAATCACAGTCTGTATTTTGAAAGGTTCTATATATAAGTGCTCACAATGTGCATCTTTATTAAAAAGCATTTGGGAAAAAAAAATCTTGGTAGCAATATCCAGAATGATTTAATGTCAGTTATTTGAACAGAAACATTAAAGAATGTATTTCAATGCGCTTAAAAATATTTATTTTTTATTGAGGCATAACTTGCTGTAAGATCTTAAGAGTACAACCAGCGACTTTTTACTTGCGTACATGCCCTGATAATCACATTATCAAGGTATAGAACGTTTTTAGGTGCCCTTGCCAAGGCTCCCTTTGGATTTCTCCCATTCAGTAAACACCCCCCTTCCCCAAGGCAACCACTATACTGACTTCTGTCAGCAGATAAGTTTTGCCTCAAAACAGGACTCTTTTGACCATGAAAGGGGACAATATAAGTAATTAAACTGAAGGACAGCAGATATGTAGACATTTTATCTATGACCCTATGCTTTATAATGATTCTTAGGGTTTTTACTATCTAGACTAACTTAAAATTCTGACCCGAGAGACTTCTTAGTCAGAAGGTCACTTTTCAGCTGAGGCAATACTCTGCAGGTTTGGATTTGTAGTTCTCGGGAGTCCGTATGTTCACAGGTGTGGTATTAATCAGTTACTTCCCATTTTTGGAATACAGGTACTATATATTTGTAGATAGTAGGTTTGGAGGGTGAATCACAAATTTTCCCAACAAATCAGAGTTTATAGTGTCAGTAGATGAATCAATTCCTTAAAGCCTAGAATTTGCTGAGAAAATTGAATGAAAATTGATTTTTTAAAGTTCAGTAAATTAAGAATGTGGTTATAAAGCTTTAACGACCTTTTAAATGATAGCAATTAACTTGATTGATACACGCAGGATATTTCAACTGGTTTATCAGATCATTAAAACTCTAACTATGGAAGCAAAAACAAAAGGTAACCAAAAATTATGTCAGGTGTGATTTATTTTTTTTATCTTAACATGATGAGGATGCCTTTTTATAATACACCTCTATCTAGGAAGATGGATTTTTGATATTCTTCACTGAAGCAAGTACTGCAACAATTTGCTTATCCTTCCCTAATGTCTTTTAATATATACTTGTGCCCTTTCTTGTTTCTATAGATAAAGGGCAAGAGTTAGATGTTAAGTGAATTCTTATTTTGTTAGTTCCTAACAAAGGCCTGTGTTTTTTACCACAAGGACATCTGTGTGATAAAAGTTGGGAACGTTCTAAGGCCTCTGGTAGGGATGTATGGGGGATGGTCCACAAAGTTCAAAGCTTTTCTTTTGTGAAATGATTTCGCTGAATAATTCTGTCTTTCTCTGAGTTAGCCAGCCAAAATGACTGTCCAGCAACTAAGCTGGATTTGGTCGCTCCATCCAAGATTCACAGTCTCATTAGCTAAGAGAGTAAATGATAATTTAGCTATTACTGGTCTGCTGTTTCTTTGTGCGGCTCTTTTTAGGTTTCTTGGCTTTTGCATTATCAGGTTGTTTAAATTTATTAAATCTTTAAGAGATGCAACTAAAGAGATAGAAAATGAGAAACAGAATACACATGAAAGGGAATTTCTTCTTTTTTTTTTTGAGACAGAGTCTCACTGCGTTGCCCAGGCTAGAGTGCCATGGCGTCATCCTAGCTCACAGCAACCTCAAACTCCTGGGCTCAAGCGATCCTCCTGCCTCAGCCTCCCAAGTAGCTGGGACTACAGGCATGCGTCACCATGCCCGGCTAATTTTTTCTATATATTTTTAGTTGTCCAGATAATTTCTTTCTATTTTTAGTAGAGACGGGGTCTCGCTCTTGCTCAGGCTGGTTTCGAACTCCTGAGCTCAAACAATCCACCCGCCTCAGCCTCCCAGAGTGCTAGGATTACAGGCGTGAGCCACTGCGCCTGGCCAAATTTCTTCTTTTTGATATTCATTTCTTTATAAACTTTTTCCCTTTAAAAATGCTTTGCCTGTCCATTGTCTTACTGCTTTTTAGGGTACTTATGCTTTCACAGTGATAACTGGACTGGGCTTAGCTATGGAATGGTGGTATAGCAGCAGATATTATTTGACTCTAAAGTCTCTAGAAAAAGGTGAACTGTCCAAACTTCATTGGCTTTATATTATGACTTTATCTTATGTTCACATTAAATTAATGAATGCAATCCAAAAAGCAGAAGACCATTATTTAGACAGGTATTTTAAACGCTAAATATTTTTAATATTAAAATTTTTCTAATAATTTACCAGAATTTTACTTTTTGCAGTTATTTGGCTGATAACCAGTATTTCAGAATAATTTAAATAAGAATAAAAGAACATGTGATCAGTAAATAGTACAGCTTTCTTATGGCAGGGTATTTTTCTTTCAGTATATAGCATTTGTTATTTAACTGGGGTGTTTTGTATTTGAAAACAATATTTATATATGTAGTTGTTAAATTGAATGAAAGTCTTTGGGGATTTTGGTTACCTGGGAGATTTTGAACCATTAGACTTTGGGGAGTGGGATTTTGATAGGGCTCTACCATTCTTCAAGTGATATTAGTCCCATTGGAAAATTATTTAAAAGAGAAAGGATGTGGTCAGTTGTTGCAAATTCATGCTTAAAATTTCAGAAGTGGGAGGAAGGATAAGAACAAAGAAAAATTATTAGTAGGAAAATTATGCTTTGCAGAAGTGTTAAGAGGCTTGATTATAAACCTTTTCCTATAACTCAGAGACACCTAAAGATTTGTATATAATTATTCTTTGTATTTATTCAAGAGGATGTTTATAACCTTATTCAGCTCTCTTTGTCTTTTGGTGATCACTCAAGGATGTTATTTAAAAACAAACAAATATAGTCTATGTATTGTATTAAATGATATTAAATCCCTTTTGAACTTTGTGGTTTGATAGTTTAATAAATTTCAGTGAGCCAGTCACTTCATTGTGCAGGGAGAGGCTATAAGGTGACATTGTGAACATGGTGTACAGTGCTGCATGCATTGGTTCCTTTTTGACGTTTTTGCTTAGTCTAGAGAAAGGTTAATTACTAAACTGATTTGGGGCAGATAGGGTAGTTGAGAGTATCTACTTTGTCTGGGAAAGTTGGGTTCTGGTCTGAGATGGTGTTTGGAGAGGATCTTAGATAAAAGATGGAGGATGGTTTGTTGGCAGCTGAAAGTGTGGGACAGTCACACATTTAGAATGACAGTATAGATGGGATGAGAAATTTAGCAATTACTAAAATACCTCAAGAGGTTTTCTTGCTGATATTCAACTTGAAGTGTTAACCAAGAAGTGCTTTGATTTGAATTCCAAATTATTATTTTTTATACCCTGAAGGATTTTTAAAAAAGTATTTGAGGTGGTTACTGGGTAATATT